GGGGCTGAATAATTTTGCACGCCCAATTTTTCAGTTTTTTATTTGTTAAAAACGTTTGAAATATCCAATAAATTTCGTTCCACTTCATGATTGTGTCCCACTTGTTGTTGATTCTTCACAAAAAATTACAGTTTTATATCTTTATGTTTGAAGCCTGAAATGTGGCAAAAGGTCGCAAAGTTCAAGGGGGCCGAATACTTTCGCAAGGCACTGTATGTAGCTGGAGAGGACAAAGAGACATCTATAACATCCTTGAAGCTGCATATTGAAAACTATTTATATTTGTCTGCGTTTGTAAAGGCTGTTTTTATGTGTTATGCCCATCTGTGATAGCATAGGCTAATTTATTATAATATGAAATGTACCAGTATGTATGTTACAGGTGCTTGTGCCGGTGACCTTAAATGCACCTCTAATTTATCATCATGTTCAGAAAAAGTAAGACATTATAGATACTAGGGCTTCTTTTCTTCTCTTATCAAGAAGGCCTGAGGCCTTTTACATCGTTTAGCACCTTTTTTCTCTTTACACTGAAGGTGAACTTCTACAAAGAACTGCTGAGTATTAAATAACGCATCTGTTCGAACCTCAGTAGAATGTAAACAAGATAATATCGGTGGTGATAAATGAACTGCAAATGACACCGTCTTTCTATTTGCACTCTCAGCATCATGGGCAACCTGACACTCTTCACTCAGCAGGATCCAGAAACTGTGTACCCCAGCCAGGATGCAGTATGGGACAGGTTTGAACAGACCTTCCTTGCACTGTGGGGTCTGGTCACATATGCTCCTGTATTCAGAGACTATTATTACCGAGGCCTTACCCAGTTCTACATGGATAATGTCATGTATCTGGAACTGCGAGCTTTACTCCCAGGGGTAATATAATGTTGTGTTTAGTGTGTACAGTGCATTAACTTGTCTGTTACTTTGTCACCGTTTTAATGTTGATCTCCACCCCCCCCAGATATATGAGTTGGATGGCAGCACTCATGACACAGCCTGGACTCTGAAGACCTACCAGGAGATCACCAGACAGTTCACAGCAGACCACCCAGACTTCTTTGGAGCAAGAGTCATCTTCACTGTCCATAGGTGACTCCTTAGAATGCCTTATTTTACATATTAGTCTGTGTACTGTTTGTTAGCTCACTAGTAGTTATGTCGATATACTTATCAGTCACACCAAAACACTGTGCTTCAGGGGAGTGAATATATCCGTGATGACTGCAGCTGTGGAGGAGGCTATGAAGCTGCAGAGGGACTTCCCAGATATCATGGCTGGCTTTGACCTGGTCAGAGGCACCACAATTTATTGGATGTAGTGTTAAGCAGCAACAGTTTCAAGTTGGCACAGTTTGTACTGAATGATTTTTGTTTCACTTGCAATGCACACAAGTTAAAATGTAATTCAGCTGTTCTAAATCACTGATACAAAACTTGCTCAACCATCACTTGGATGCGGCTGATGTAATTAGTTGGAAGTGTGGTCACCTTCTCTCTGCATGTACAGGTTGGCCGCGAGGACAGAGGCAGACCCCTGTGGTACTTCAGAGATGCCTTGTCACTTCCTGTAGAGAGAGGAGTCACACTTCCTTTCTTTTTCCATGCTGGAGAGACGGGTGAGCTCATCAGTGCCTGATGTGTGGAGCAGCTTCAGTAACTTCATTACAACAGTAATTAATGCTTTTTCTGTGCATAGCAAGAGTGTGTTATAGAAGCACAGACCCCATTTTTGTGTTTGAGTATTTTATTTATCACACCCTGAAAATAAAGTTTGTTCTTGAAGATTACCATGACCAGTTTAAGAGTTAAATCAAATGTTAGTGTGAAAAGGTTACAGAGCAGTACATATATTTTTATTTTGCTGTTAAGGTGTTATAGCCCTAAATCAAAAATAAGGTACCGTGTAAATCAAACCATAAGCATCTGTCAGAAAATTCATAGTTTCTTTTTGTCCTGCCACCTAAATTTCTGCAAAACCAATGAGATGAAATCTTTATCAAGTGTGTGATCCAGGAGAGCAAAGACCAATCATTTCTGAACAAGTCCCTGTTTCATAAGAACATCTCTACTACATAAAGATCTTGAGGGCACAGAGGTCGACCAGAACTTGCTGGATGCTCTTTTGCTGAACACTTCACGCATTGGCCATGGATTTGCTCTGCTTCGCCACCCAGTGGCCAAAGACATATCGAGGAAACGAGAGGTGGCTGTGGAAGTATGCCCCATCTCCAACCAGGTACTTGGTCATCCTGTGAACCATACTGTGCAGCTACTAGAGTTTATTACTTAATGTAAGTGAATTGATGTTGCATCCTGTAAACAAATATCTCCTTTCATATGGTCCTTCAGGTGCTGAAGTTGGTAAATGATCTGCGAAATCATCCAGCAGCTGCTCTGATGTCAGAGAGCCACCCTGTGGTCATCAGTGCTGATGACCCTGCCATGTTCGGTGCCTCTGGCCTCTCTTATGACTTCTACGAAGCTTTTGTGGGCTTCGGTGGGCTTAGATCCCACATAGGCTCTCTGAAACAGCTGGCCATAAACTCTATCAGGTGATATTCAGCTGGGATTTACAAATTTACCTTGAACGGTGGTGTGCTCACATGCTTGAGGCCAAAGTCAGCTGACAGTCCACTAACATTTCCCCATCTATCTTTCAGGTATAGTTCTTTGACTCGAAAGCAACAGGAGAAAGCACTGGCCCTCTGGCAGAGAAGATGGGATAAGTTTGTCTCTGAAAATGCCTTTTAGAAATAAAGCTGTAACATTGTTTAAACGCCGTCTTTAGGGGAATCTTTGAATGCCTTTATGTTTCTCTGAGAAAGGAATTACTATTGGCATATGTGAAATATAAATGGAAGATAAACAGTGCTGCACAGATGAGCAGTTTAATGGTAGGAGCAAATATGGGACAATAAGACAGCACTGGGGTAAATAATAAAATGAATGGTGAGCTGACCAGTGTGAACCAGATCTGGGCTGTTTATGTATGACAAGTTTTATAAGTATTTGCACTTAAAGGTTCAGGTTTGCCTACTTTTTGGGGACAATACAGGTATCAAGTGCTGTTTGATTTCTCTTTGTAGTGTGTTGGTGGCTTGCTTCTGCTTTGTAAAAGTGCATTACGTCGTTTGTTAAGATGGGAACAAAATCCTGTAGGCTCCGAAACAATGCATTTGAGAGACATAATAAATGTGTTACATAGTCTTATAGGGTCTTTCACTTAAATGTGAATTGTTTTAGATTTTAATCTGTAATGGATTTATACATGGGCTTAGCTGACCTTTGCTCCGAGAGGCACCTTTCATTTTTGGATTGAAGCAAGAACAAAGATTCTTTAATGATCATTGTGAGAATTATCTAGATGTATTTAAATGCTGTGAAATGTCTAAACAAATTTTGATGTAACTAAAGACAACTGTTGATTGACTGTTGTTGAGTTTATTCTGTTCTTCTAATGTAGCACCATTATCACTGCTTATCTGCTGTAACGAGTGAGCCATCGGTGCAGATCCATCATCTGCTGCATGTGTTGAATTTGGAGAAGAAACTCTCATCAATGTGTCCTCTTTCAATGTCCGGCTCCCTTAAAACAACAGAAGTTTAGAAACACAGTGAGGCAATATACTCTGTGTGGAATTGAATGAAATATTGTTTTGGAAATTTCACTGACTGTTGTTTGTGCGTTTCGGCCAGCTTAATGTTGGTGCTGTCCAGGTGCCGTCTCAGCTGCTTGTTCAGTTTTGCCTGCTGCCTTTCTATTAGCAGAGCTGTACGAGCCGAGTCTAAGCGAATGCGATCATGTCCCTCCTCTTCCCTCTTCTTCTCTAATTCCATCCTCTGCCGATGCACAGATGACACGGGGACACACACCATCAGGGAACAGGTTCCTATTGACTGATTTCTGAATTATCCAATAAAAACTGCATATTGTTTTAGTGTCATTTGTTCCTGTTTTACCTTTTTCTCCTCTATTTGATGTTTCTGGAACTGGATGACCTGCTGCAGGCTTTCTGGACGGACTTTCCTGTCATTGCTGGGACAAAGGCCGGGCACTCCCACCTTGCCCAGGCTAGGCCCAACATCTACACCTGTCAGCTGTCCTGGCATGTGGTTCATAATTTCCGCTAGATTGTCCTGGTCGTTATGTGCCTGCTCCTGGCGACGTGTTTCCTCAGCCTTTGCCAAAACCCAGTGAAAAAGTGAGTGACAGAAAATGTAATGTTAAACCCCATAGTCTGGTTTTAGTCTAATTCTCAGTTTTAACTTAATATATTTTAACACCACATGAAATAAACCTAAAACAGGCATTAGGTGAACAGATCCATCAAAGGCCGGTACAGCCCAGGTCACCTCTGTATATTCCCTTCATACATCAAGTCGTGTGCTTATGTGTTTGCTGTATATAAGACTAGCAAATAGTTTTCCTAAGACAGAACTCCTTTGTATGCTCTTGTTAAATGTCATTCAAGGTGATGCCATTAAAATGTGTGCATCTCATGGTGTGTCTCAGGATGCGTAAGCTTTAGCCCTCCTGTTGCATTAAGGATTTTAATCAGACAGTCTGAGCAACAACCAGGATTACTTGCCTTGGCCAGATTGTAGTCTTTAATGGCAATGGCTGCTGCTTTTCTTCTCTCCATCTCAAGGTTCTGAAGCTGTAGAGCTTTGCTGTCCAGTTCTTCTCTGCTGTGGTCATATCGCTGCTCTGAAGATCAGTAGAAAAAAAATGAAGTGAGCTTATGTTTTGTGTGTATGAGTTGAGATGTGCGTATCCTGTATAGGATCAGACAAACTTACCTTCCAGCTTTAGCTGATGCCTTTCTGCTGCCTGCTCCCTCTGCTGCTGGCTGAGCCACTCTCTGAGCTGCTCCCTCTGTCTCTGGCATCTGCTTTTACTCTCCAGGTCTTCGCCCACCAGTCCAGGGAGCATCATCTGTGCATCACCTAAGTTGTTCAAGTCATACTCCCGCTGGCTCCAAGGCTGCTGGTACTGATGCCGGTAGTTAACCACAGCCTTTTCCATCGCTTGCTTCTCCTTCATTTGTCTGTTATGGAGAATGCAAGCTACTTTGCTATTATGGAGCATATCAGCATCTAAATAGAGATAAAGCACATGGCCACACACATGCATCAAGCTGCACTTTATGATTGTCCAGTGTCAGTGCAATTCATGTGTATACGTGTTCAAAACAGAGACCTCATTTTATTATTAGCTACAGTTTTCAGTTGATAACTGCTAGGCTATTATTCTGTGATAATTTGTTATTCCAGGACATAGGGTACACTGATTTAAAAATGTTAAACATTAGGGAACAAGCTTTAACTCACCGTAGGCGTTTTGTTTCTCTCTTTCGGCCTCTTCTTGTTTCTTCTTCTCATTTACCTGCGCGTCTAGTCCTTCCTTGTCGACCTTAAAAACGCAGCACAGCTAGCTTGAACGTCTATTAAATGCATTTCGGTATCTGTTTCAATACATGTGTTAACACTGAGAGCTACACTACACTGCTAAGGTCACATGTAGTTCCAGTCCAAATACACACTCACCCCAATAGTCCTGGTTTTGTCGTTAAAAATCCGCTCTCGTCTTTCAGTCTCTCTGTTGCGACGCCTCTGCAGACTTGTCCTAGCAATGCGGTCTGACAGTAACTCAGCGTTAAGCATCTTGACTTACAAACTGTACATTAATTGTGCGGTGATAAACCTGAAACGGACTCTAGACAAACCTAGATGTCAAACACACCGGTTGCTAAGAGACTGCCTTTTCGTGAGTCTACGTACGATGTCGGCTCTTTCCGCGGTATTCGACGTCATAGCCAATGAAAAAGCACGCATCGCTACATGGAGGCTAATGATTGAAGCCCTGTTGCTATGTCATGGTTGCACCTTGTAAAGTAAAAAATAAATACATAAATCAAATAAAGCTGAGGCTTTGAGTCGGTTTAAAAATAAATCAATAAAGAAATAATCACAGTTTAGGGCCCTGCACTTAATACACTAACACAGATGTGGTGCATCTGTTAAGAGCAGCAGGACAAAAACCATGTCTCTGTCCTCTACCACTCGAATAAAGGCCCAATCATTCGGAGCAATAACACCTTTGGATTATCTGCAGGATTATCAGCAAGTAAGACACTGCTTGACCTTATTTTATGCTGTTTAAAATTAAAAGCCCATTGATGGATATATGTTAGGCTACTACTTGGTGTGTCCATCAATAGTAGCATATAAAGGCAATTGCACAAACT